GTCATTCCTATATATTTTGTACCCTGGTATTACTGTGTCCGATTGATTATCATCATTTCACTAAGTTTCTGTGATACCTATTATATCAATATCCTCGTTTAATATCAGGCACTCAAGTTCACTCATCTTAGTATTTAGACTTGTAACATTTGTATGTAAAACTAAATTCCATAAGCACTCCCTTTACCATAAAGTTCCTTATGAGAGTAAGAGAGAAAAATTACTTACATAGTTAAGTGTTGCACAACCCCAATGAGCAGATTTCACACTTGTTACAGAGTAGGAAAAATAATGGCAATTTACATCTGTAGAAAAAAATAATATTTGTGAATACAGAAATTGTTCAACTGGAAATTGCAAATATTAATTCCCAACTTTTAAGAAACACATGGTGGAAGGTGGCAAACTTTTCAGTGTTTCTTGCATCTGGTTGGGCTAGATATACCACTAAAATCTTCAAAAGTGTAGATGTGCTTGACAATGAAAACTAAGGAGAAAGAAGGATTAAAACATTTTTGAGCCATGAAAAAGAGTTTGCTTTGAGACCACATCTAACAATCGGGAAAGATAATGGTCTTTTTTTTCAAAACAGGTTTGCCCTGACAGCATGTGTTAGAAGGTTTTAAGGCATTAATAAAGACCATTCAATCTAACTAGCTTTTATAAACTTCCATTTGTAAATGCTCCATTGCCTACTGATGCCAGCTAATTGTTCCTTTAATAATGCAATGTTTTTGCTTAAGTAATCTTGCCTGGATAGCCATTATACAGCTATGATGATTCTCTGTAGGCTAAATGTACTTTCTGATATATATCCTGATTTTTTTCCCCATTGCTTTTCATTCTACTATCTCTGCATTGATCACTTAAATCTCTGGAGACTCTATATTTGCATTTTTCACTTACAATAGATTTGTCATGCATGATTACCACTGTTTTTCTAGTCTTCCTCTAATGAGGATACCACTTGGTAATACTAATTTCTTCCTCCATCAACTGGTTGATAAATATGCATTTGTTGTGTGCCTAAAACCTCTACTGATTAGATTTACAATTTTGGGTGTACAAGGAAGGCATTATCAAGTCTGTAATTTCAAAGGTGTTTCTGAAATTGTATTTAATTTGGGATTATCTCCAAGATTCATATTATACATGCAATATAGATTTTTCCCATAACGTTGTCCTCATTAATCCTTTGTTTCCTGTCACTGGGGGAGTCAGAGATACAGCCCTGAGTTTTCATTAATGACTAGTGATTTTGTATGCCTCAGTTTTGGAGTGCCCAACTTGATATACCTTAAAGGAGCTTGATTTTTCAGTGGACTGATGGTGATTTAAATAGGGTTGCCAACTTTCTAATCACACAAAACTGAACACTTTAGCCCCGCCCTTTCCCTGAAGCCGTGCCCTCCCCCACCCCCCGTTTACTGCATTCCCCGTCCCTCGGTGGCTCACTCTCCCCCACTTTCACTGGGCTGGGGTGAGGGCTTTAACTGGGAGTGCAGGCTCCAGGGTGGGATCAGAAATGAGGGGTTCAGGGTATGAAAGGGGGCTCTAGGCTGGGGGTTGGGGTGTGGGAGGGGGTGAGGGCTACGGCTGGGGGTGTGGCCTGTAGGGCGGGACCAGGGATGAAGGGTATGGGGTTCATGAGGGGGCTCCAGTCTGGGGGTGGGGCGGAGGGGTTCAGGTTGTGGGAGGGTGCTCTGGGCTGGGACAGGGGGTTGGGGTGCAGAGGTGCATGAGGGATGCATCTGGTGGTGCAGGCTCTGTGGTGGGGCTGGGGTGAGGGGTTTGGGGTGCAGGAGGGGGCTCCAGGTTTTGGGGGGCTCAGGGCAGGGGCAGGGGGTTGGGGCTCGGGTTTGGGGCACAGGCTTACCTCCGATGGCTCCTGGTCAGCAGCTCTGCAAGAGGGCTCAGGCAGGCTTCCTGCCTGTCCTGGTTCCACGCTGCGCCCAGGAAGCAGCCAGCACCAGGTCCGGCTCCTAGGCAGAGGTGAGGCAGGCGGCTCTGCGTGCTGCTCTCGCCCACAGACACCACCCCCACAGCTCCCATTGGCCATGGTTCCTGTACAATGGGAGTGCGGAGTCGGTGCTTGAGAAGGGGGCAGTGCACGGAGCCCCATGTCCCCCCTACCTAGGAGCCGGACCTGCTGGCCACTTCTGGAGCGCAGTGCAGAGCCAGGACAGGCAGGGACTAGCCTTCCTTAGCTTTGCAGCACTGCAAACTGGACTTTTAACTGCCCGGTCAGCGGTGCTGACCAGAGCTGCCAGGGTCCCTTTTTGACTGGGTGTTCACCCTAGATGTATACCATTAGAAGATCTGGCCTACCATGCATGGAGAAAGGACAGAGGGTAAAATTATCAAAAGTGCTGTAGTGATTTGGGAGCTGAAGTCCCCTTTCAGACGTGACTTAGGCACTTAGAAGCCAAAATCTAATTCAAAGTGCATTGGACTTAGAGGTTTACCTACTTAGGTTCTTTTGTAAATCCCTTAGGCACCTATAGTCATGTTAAAGGTTTAACCATTGCCCTTTCATTTAAGTTAGCTATAAGAGACCATTAAGACCAAAACAAAGGGGTATATGAGTCTGCTCAGGAATTTGAATGATCTGGATGGAGGGTGTGTGTGTGTGTGAGAGAGAGAGAGAGCGAGAACAGAAAGCAACTACCTCCTGTTGTTTGGTCCCTCTTGTATTCAAAGAAGCAAAACCTCATACATGCTTTTTAAACAGAGAAAGAAGATTGCATCAAAGGTAGCAGACTCCATCAATTTCTCCTCCTGATCCGAACAGCCTACAAGACCCTGAATTTTGGCTAGCAACTCATGTAGGTACCTAAATACATTTGTAAATCTGGCCCTAAGTCACTTCTGAAAATGAGATTTAGGCTTTTAAGTCATGTAGGTATTGAAAATTTTACTCAGATTAAATGATATAATAGGTCTTTTTCATCTCTAAGTACTGTGCTCCTATGAGTTGTGCTAACGTTTTTCTATTAAAACTCAAGCTTTAGAAATTGAGAACTCTTGTTAGGGAAAAAATCATTCTGGATGAGCCCTTAATGTTGAGTTGCTTTTTAAAAATCATTGCTGAGAGAGGTGAGTTTCATCTATGGCATTTTGCAAATCTTCAGAGAAAAGCCAAATAAACTACAAATTAGACACTACCTAATAATTCCTGGTATATTCCATGGCATATTTCATGAACACTACCAGTATATGTACTAGGTCTCATGAATCAACATTATAGTAAAATATAATTTTCACCCTGTTCTGCAACAGAAAATATGAAGTTTTTATCTTCCTAAATTATAGTGTTATTATTTGTTTCTTGATTTTCAGAATGAAGAGTTTTCCTCCATTAACTCTCTTGTGTAAAGTATACAGTTTGAAGGGGCTAGTTTTGCAAGCTGTGATAGGGCCAAGTTTAAATTATTTGGACATCAGTGAAAACTGGAATTTATCCAGGTATTTCCACCCCCTCTCCCCATGCTTAAAATCTTAGGAGATGTGATGACAAGATTTTATTTATTCACAAACAAATTCCACAATAATTAAATATAAAAGTGTAATAAAAAGGATTTGAGAGTGTGGGGAAAAGAAGATTGTGTCATTGCAAATTGAGTTGCCCATGTTTATATTTAGGCCTGTGGTTAAGTATTTTGCTGAAATGGGACCTAAAACAGGAAAGTAGCTTATAGGATGTATTAGCCTAAATTTCAAGGTCATTTCTTATCCTCCTTTATCTATTTACCTCATTAGCATTTTCCATTTAAAAACAAAACAAAAAAGACAAGGCACAATCACTAAGCATTTTTATTAGTTAGATGCCATGTTATTAGTTGATAAAACATTCAAAGCTGACTAATCACACAAACTATCAAAGGCTGATTTTTACATGTATAATGTTGATTTTGATTGGAACATTTTCTTTTGCTGGAGAAAGGTTTTGTGTGTGTGTGTGTGTGTGTGTGTGTGTGTGTGTGTGTGTGAGAGAGAGAGAGAGAGAGAGAGAGAGAGAAGTAAATCTAGCACAAACCTCAACTACTGTGGGCCCAGTGCAGGATGTTGTTTCTTTGGATCTATGAAAATTTCCTCTTCTTATTAACCAGATAGACCAAGTGAAGTGTATAGATAAAAATTCAAAGTTGCTCAATATTGGGTCTGTCACTGCAGAGAAGAGCTCAGTGGCCCACAATATAAATAAGTTTGGGTTACAGTATAATTATAGTCACACCTGAAACAAAATGCACTTGAGTCAATGAGAATTTTGATTGTGTGAGGACTGCAGGATTACTCAATCTGCTTAAGCACAATAGGTGCCTAACTCTTGTTGAAAGTCAATGGGAGTTGGGCACCTAGCTCACTTACGCTCTTCACTCCTTATCATTAAAAACTGCAACAGAGAACCAGGGGATTCCTCCTTCTGTCTCCTGACCTTACAGTCAGGATGATCTTCTCTTCCCACTAGATAAAGGCAGTTTGAAAGTCTCTTACATAAGATTCTCTCTAAACCAGAAAAAATGCCAGACATTGGGTACTAGACAATGATAAAGCTATTTAATTAGGAAATCCATTTTAATTGTAGAGATAATAAAATCCCAGTGTTAAAAACATGAAACATACTGTATAGCAGGCACATCTGTCATCTGTGCACATATTGTACTTAGTCCTGGGCATTTATATACTTATATTTAAAACATTTTAAAAAATGATACAAAATAATGAGAAAAATACAGTTAGGTTTTTATGCTATTATATCAGAACTGATTATATTACCAGAACTTGCATGTATTATGACATTAATCCACAGTGTTAGAGTACAGCTTTTTAACCACTGGCAGCATTATACTAGAGCACGGGAAAGCTACAGGTTGTTCTGCTCATTTGCAGCTCCATAGTGATTTTCTCTTCTGAAGAGCTTACTGTTTAATTCATCTCTCTCTGGTTACAAGCAGAACAGCAACCTGCCAATTCCTCTATACTGTGCGGGTCAGGGTGTCATGGATCTTAGGAGACTGAAAAAACTGCAGGCCCTGGTGCATTTATACAGACAGGATCCAGACCTCCTGAGGGCTAAGCAGCTAAGTTTACTGTGTGACAATGTGAAGATCATAGGAGATCCCATATCTCTTCTTCAATGCAATACCTCTGTAGAGAAGACAGCCGAGGAGGAGGAGGAATCGCCAGAGGCAGCTGAGAGTGAGGAGAGTGATTTGGAAATTGAGGATGATGGTGTTATTGAACCAGATCTGGATGATCCCCAAGGGATGGGAGATGAATATTTGGAAATAACAAATGAGATGATAGAGCAGGTCAATGAAAAGAGGGAACACACCTTTGCCGCCCTGAATGAAGGTGAATTTCAGAAAGCCATTGACTTGTTCACGGATGCTATCAGGCTGAATCCTCACTTCAACCTCTTGTACATTAACCGAGCCAGTGTCTTTGTGAAACTACAGAAGCTGAATGCTGCCATTAGAGCCTGTGACAGAGCCTGTGAGCTTAACCCCAATTCAGCAGAGTCTTAAAAGTGGAGAAGGCAAGCACATATGCTCCTGGGGCATTGGGAGGAGGCAGCCCAAGACTTTACCTTGGCATGTCAACTGGATTACAATGAAGACACTAATGCCATGTTAAAGAAGGTGCAACCAAGGGCTGGGAAGATTGCTGCACATCAGGAGCAGTATGAGCAAATACGTGAGTTAAGGGAGATACAGGAAAGGATGGAGAGGGTGAAATTGGCCTTGGAAGAGGAAGAAAGAATCCAGAGAGAGGAAAATTATTGGCAGGACATTATTAGAAAAAGTCACAGACAGCTGACATTTTTCATAACCTTACTAGATCCAAAAGTTCTGATTGCTTTCCTGGATGTAGTCTGGAACCCAAAAAACATTTACAAATATCGTGACACACAAAAGTTAATAAAGCTTACCTGCAAAACAGGACTGAATGTGGTCATCCAGAAATGACCTATTATTCAAATTAAAACCACAACCTGTGACGTGATGTGTGCATTCCTTTTCTTGTTTTATTTGCTTCAGTTTTATTTATAATGAGAACTCTCACTTTTGGCTTTCTGTGAGCCAGAAGAAAATGTTTCTGGGGGCAAATAGCAAAGTAACTCCATTCCCTTAAGCATGCATTGTTGCAATGCAACAATGACTTGACTTAGGAAATGGGTTTCTGTATGGGAGAGCAATCATGTAGAATAGCAACTGAGTGTACAAGACAATGAATTTTAATACTCCAGATTATAACAAAACTGGCGGAACTATGGGGAGGTAAATAGGAGCTGATGATGACGGCAATCCACGAAGATATGTCTTGAACATTTAAGATGTTTTATCCAAGTTTGAATATGTCCACACCCTGTGATGCTCTTTACATGAACATACAAGGATGGCTGGAAAGGAGTTCAAATTCCTTTTTTTTTTGTACCTTGCCAGGAAAAAGAAGTGAGCAGGTGAGTAATTAAAAGTGAGCATGAAAAAAAGCAAAAAGTTGACACACACATTAGAGACTTGCTAGTTGATTCATGGGGAGAGGAGGCTCTGGGATGGCTTGATTTTCTAAAGATAAATTTTAATAGCAATATTTCATTACAGTCCTATTTGCAATTATGTCTACACACTATAAAGCCAGTAAGCCCAGGATTCCATGCAATCATTTCCGCGTAACTCTGTCCTTGATCTTTTTTTTTATTTTGTATTGCAAATAGCTTATAATAAAATGCAGGAACGTATGTACACTCATTGAATTTTATATTTGTACTTTCTGGCACAGCACTTTAAGCACATGCGTTACTTTAAGTATGAGAGTCCCCTCGTTGGCTTCAATTGGATGACACATGCTTAAAATTTTGCCCACAATTGAGTGCTCTTCTGAACCGCTGCCTTTTGGAGGCATGATACGAAAAGATTTGCACAGTAAAAGTGAAAATTTGCATGAATTCTAATCAAGATTTGGAGTACACTTCATAATGCTGAGTGGAAACCTGGACTCATTCAACATTAACTGGGGAAAAAGGATGTAAGCTGGTTTCTTTGAGAGTCTCTGGATACCTCATGTAAGCTAGTGTTGAGCAGACATGACATGGTCAGAAGGGTTCTGTGAGAAATGGGTGGCAAGCAGTCAGAGTGTACCTTAAAAATTGAAATCAGCCCAAAATGAACAAGATACAACATTATACAAAATAAATGGGAGGAGGCATGGTTCTTTTGAATTTTTTATATCAGGTATGCTGGACTAGTATTGAGGGAGGCTCTATGCTACAGTTCAGAAAAGCTCATCTTCCAGAGATTCACAAGCTGACTAAAATGATCTTAAAGGTGTTAAAGGGTCTGACTAAATCTTGAGAGGGGCCTTGATTAAAAATGATCAGACATAGCACATTCATAGGTGAGGGGAAGGAGGTGTCCATATACAACCCTAAGTCCTAATACTACAATTTCCCTACTTCAGGATGGAGAGAGCATAGATTAATTTAATTAAATATTTAAATATATTTAACTGTAGTGGATGGTGCTCAAAATAAATGTCAGGACTGAGGTGATATTTAGACACACCCTTCTCTTGAACAATACATTTCTGACTCCCTATCTCCACATGCACACATACAATCATTGTTCATCTTCCAAATAAAATCAATTAACCAATTTGTGGTTCTTCCCTGCACCCCAAATAGCTCCATTGCTTCATCTCCCTTCTGAAAATGAGCACAGCCTCCACTTACACTGCTCCCTGATTCATCTTTGCTGCCTTCAACAAACCCAAAGCCTCTAGCTGATCTGCTTCTCTTCCTCGACTCCTCCCCCCGACCCCTTCCGCTCTATGCAAGCTTGGGCTAGAAACCAACAGCCCCTTCCCTCCTCCCCAGGTAGTTCTTTCACTTAAGCTGCTGGAGAGAAGAGAGCCATCTGATTCAAGCTGTTTTGTTTAAGAGAATAAAGGAGGGAATTCAAATAGAGGTGTATTAGCCTCCTTTGTCTTTTATTATCAATCACTACTGATTGATAGTCAGTCCCAACATGGACGGTGATATGATCTCTCATTCACCTGCTAGCTGGAAGATCCTCAATTTCAAAATCAGTAGCTTCTCAGGACAAGTTCAGGCACCTAAATAAGTGGACCAATTTTAAAAAGGATAGAGCACCCCAGGAGAGCCCACTGACTCCAGATAGCTCCTCAGAGCATTCTGAGAATCATGAACTCTTCCAAGTTCTTTTTCCTGAATACAAGTCAGTCTCTAAAACAGCAATAAACTGTGTTTCATGACCACTAGTGGTACACAAAGCACTCATTACAGTACAGACCTGTTTACGCGTGAATCTGCTTAACGCACCGTAGCGACATGCCTCCCAGTGCTACCTATTTAACATGCGAGACTCGTTAACACCCAGTACAGGAACTTGCTATGTGGCGCTACTAACTCAGTGCCATAGAAATCGACAGGAAGTGCGGAGAGGAAATGTGTTGTACGTCTTTACCGCCGGGGGGGGGGAAGGGGCAGCAACTTTAAAGCACTGCTGCGGCAGTGCTTTAAGGACGGTCCTTTGCTGTGGCAGCTCTTTAAGAATCCTCAAAGCACTGTCATGGCAAAGGACCGTCCTTAAATCCTAGATAATTGTAGATGTATATATAGATATCTTAAGATATTTCAGCATGGCCTTCTTAACCCACGGTCCATTAACACGCGGTCGTGATGGCTTGACTCCCGATATCCATGCGCAAATGAGTCTGTACTGTACTACTGGTTCATAGAGAAAAGTCTGGTCACATGATTCTGGATTCTTCTGTTTTCAGTTACTATATCACATTTGGAAAAAAAAAAGTAAGTGCCTTTCTAAAATTGCTTTCTCCATATATGCAATTGCTATGGTAGCCAGAAGGATGTTATAGGGAGGGGAGATTATCCATGTGATTGTTTCATACCACAGGTCTGTCTACATGGGCCGGGATGCTTCTCTTTTATGAAAATGAACTAGAAAGCACTGACTCTAAAACTGATTATTACTTATGTGAATGGCACACTAATGCCATTGCTAATACAGTGTAATCATTCCAAAGAGCGGTTGGACAGCATATTTAACTATGTAACATTTCAAATTTGTAATGATTTTTATCAGTGATATATTTATAGAAAAGCGAGTGTGCAGCTCTAGTGAATCTTATGAAAACATCAGAAGATTTCTATTCTGAATCAGGAATAAGTGGCTATTTCACAGTGTAATCTTGATTATCTAAATGTTAGTTGTCAGAAATTGAGTTATTCTAAAGAGGATAAAATTTCCTACTGAAAATGTATTTTATTATGCAAAATTATTCTCTGTCCTCTGTTACAGTTTACACTGAATTATCAAGTGTAAACTGTATGTATCTTGCCTATTTAGGGGTGAGGAAAATAAACAATCTGAAGACACAATGATCTCTCCATTAAAAAAAAAAAATGTACTGGACAGACATTACTCAAAATTAAGGAAAAAGCTTCCTTCCTTGGTCAAGAATCAATCTGCTGTGTTTTGACCCAGAGGTAATTAATAGTAAATATACTGTAGGGGCCTTTAATGGAAATGCTGATACAGCTTGGCTATAGTGCCTCAGATCTGGTGTTATAGTTACTACAGTAATCATAATAAAATATTGAGAGGTAAAATATTCTATAATCACAATAAGATTGCATGTATGAAGTCCATGCAGTTAAAATTGTTACATTACCCTCTAGATAGCAATGCAAGATCTCATATTTTTTAAAAAATAAATAAAGGGATCAAACTAATCTTATTACTTATACATATATTAATAAAAGGTGATAAAATTCCAGTAAAAATATAGGTGGATGGTCAGCCGCTTTTCCCTCGTGCTTTCCTGTAATATGTGTAGTTCAGTGAATGCATGCCTGGTGATGAAATAGATAAAAATATTTTTCTGGGTTCAGATGATGTCATAATTTATGACATCATCAGAATTTATGACATAACCAGAGCTGTAATAGAGAATTTACACCTTCAAAAAAACACCATAGACGTATTTGCAAACTGCAGTATGAAGACCACAGTCAGAAGGGAACATACAAGTCTAGTTTGTTCCTCCATAGTGTAGTCTCACATTGAATTAGTAGTTAAGAAACTGCTACAGCTTTTATCTTTTCCCTCTGCCCCAACACAGTCTGTGTTGCCCAGCTCCCTTCTGGCCAAGCCACCATGGATCTGAAAAAAATTACTGAACTTCAGGTCTTGGTGGATCTCTACAGCCAGGATCCAACTCTTTTGAAGGCCAAGCAATTGAGTTTCCTGTGGGACTCTATAGAGAGCATGGGAGATACCATATTATGTTCAGTGAAACATGCCTCTGCAGAGAAGATATTCAAGGAGCAAGGGAAACAACCCAAAGCAGCTGAGAGTGAGGAGAGTGACTTGGAAATTGAGGATGATGGTGTTATTGAACCAGATTTGGATGATCCCCAAGAAATGGGAGATGAATATTTGGAAATAACAAATGAGATGATAAACCAGGCCAATGAAAAGAGGGA